TAGTTTTAAATATATAATGTAAAATGTATTTATGAATAGTATGTATAGTATACAATTTAAATTCAAAATTGCTGCAAATTATAATTGTAAGCTTTCCAACAATCTGGCAAAATGATTGAGCCTGGTCTTATATATCTTTGTATTATAGGTAACAATGTTTTCTCCGATCGATCAGGTACACTGATTATAAAACACGCTTAAGTTTCCCAACATATTCCACCAAAAATCCATTGCTATTGCAGAATACGCCCAGCATTATTTTTTCTACTCACAAATAAACTTTCATCTATTTCAACAAAAAGACTGGGACCACCAATTTCTTTATTTTGATCATTTTCAAGTTTCCATACACATACGTCACAAAGATAATTACTCCAATTAACCACAGCATTTTGTCCCATATATAGTTTACGTTTACAAAATGTTACTAAAGACATTTCTAGGGGCAAGTAGTATATGAAATGGACAATTGTGTGTATTGGTAGTCTAGAACCAGTTAGCCAATTATTAATTCTCAATCCTTTTTCCTTTCGGCAACTTCTTTTCTGACATCGCCATCACGATCCCTTGATAAATATTGAATGGCCATTTTCACACACTTCACTAACTTTAATTATATTATGTTGTTGTAAAAAGCTAATTCCAGTATCACTGTTTGAAACAATATTGTAAGTAATTCAGTAAAATTAATTTTAACATATTGAATTTACTTTTTCAGTAGTAAAAAGTTAAGTAGTTTATTTGTTGCGGCCAACGACCTTGTTGTGAAACTGTTATCATTGTGTTGTTCGTGCATGATATACTCTCGTCGTTCGCAAATTATTATTAATTGTTAATTCTGTTTCTTTTTCCGCTATTGCAGCGCCTACTTTTTTTTATATACGTCTGTTACTTTTGGTTTAGTACCCTTTTGATACACACACAACGTAATGTGGTTATAAATTATTGTTAAACCTGTACTGTGTGGTCCATGTAACCATACAATTATTATTAGTACTTGTATTGTGACTGGATCTCACGTCGTTATTGAAACGACATAACAGAACATAATATTATTGAAATAAATCCTCGTCATTACGAACAGCAACCGTGTGAGTCTTTCTATTATTACTAACTGTCTGTGTGGAAGTTGGCCTTTACCGCGTATTCGTGTCCTGTGCCCACCAACTCCACCCAGTCCGACATACGAATCTTCGCGTAAGTCCGCCAGCACTCGCCGTGGTGTGTGGAAGGCCGCCCAGGTCATCATCGCGACATCCAGGTCCGCGTAAGTCCGACAGCAACGAACGTTGTGTGAGAGGCCACCCAGGTCGTCCAGGTCACCGTCGGTCCAGCTCAACCACAGCACAAGACATCTGTTCCTGTTTTTTGTGAGCTCTGTGGTCATTGCACCAGACCGAATCGACCACAGAGACCCCCCTCCCCATAATTAGCTTGCACCATCCCAATCCCTTTGGTAGGGATCTCCCGTCATGATCGTGCGTAGAATTTACTGCCTTGCACACTTTCAGACGAGGGCACCTATAGTTGCCTACCCACCCAAATAGTCGGCGCTAGTGGTGGCATTGGCCCACAACAATCATAACAGTTCTCGGGTGTTCCCCGAGTGGTCCTTCGGGAATGTGTTTCGTCAGGTGTCTTCGCGTACACAGTAGATAGTAGATATGTTTTTGGACCATGGCCATATAGATAGGTCTGGCAACTCGACAGTGTTTGTACGTGGTCGGAAATGTGCCGTTATACAATTATACGGCATATCAGGGGAATGCTATCAACATTCATAGTATAGCATTCTAAGTATTACAAATTTACTATTTTGGTGGGATAGATGGCGAAACAATAATATACAACACGGTATTAGAATAATACAAGCTAATATAAGAGATATTATGGGCATATAATAATATATACCTATCTAAAATTATTAAATACAAATATTAAAAATTATTACACAAATAATTGTGTACCCATCTAATTTATGGTAAAATTAATTGATAATATACAGACCTACAGTTTGCCTAGTACTAGTCTTTAGTTTCTAGTTGTTGAAAATAATAAATTCACAATGCCTAGACGCCTAGAGTATGCTCAATATGTAGAGAAAACAATGCTCTAACACTTTTTTGAGTGCCGATCAATAGTGTTAGAGCACAAAAATGCCAAAAGGTTTTTGGTACTCAAGAAACATTAGTTCCCGGCAAAACTGTTTTGTGTGAAAAACACTTTTTGTCAACAGACATTGTAAGACAAAATTAAATTAAAGACCCTATTACAAATCATGTTATTTGTACAGTGAGTATGTTCGCGCAATAAGCAATTAGCTTATCGCGGAAGACGGCGACAGGATATGCGCGACGGCGACATCTCCCTTCTCGTCCAAACACCACTCCGTCCTTAAATTATTTAAATTGTTCTAAATGTTATGTATATTTATTATCTTTGTTTTCACGTTTTGTGTAAATAAGTATTGGTCAACTTTTGCCCAATATTATTATCATTTTATCATATCACTATTATATTTTCTTTGTTATTGTTTACTTCTACGGCCAACGCCCTTGTTGTTTTTTCGTATTATTATTGTTGTACGTAAAAATTATTCTTTTTCTTGTCCCGCTATTGCATCGGTGGCTTTTCGTCGTTTCTTTTGTATTTTTTAAGTCGCATTGAGCGCATAGTATTTATTAAAATTATTATTATTAATTTTGTGATTCATCAATCAAATATATTATACAATATTATATATAGCCGTGAACGCACAACCTTCAGTGTTCATTAAAAGCAAATAAAGACCTTCATAATTCAGCACTCATCTTGTAAGTTACTATTTTATATCACCTTCTTTCATCTGTTCAACATAGTCAGTGGCTCCCGATTATTGTGTGGTGCTGCCCTGGAGTCCCCATCACGACCAATGAGAGTGCCGATGCGTAAGTCCACCAGCAACAAATACGTTGTGTGAGAGGCCGCCCAGGTCGTCCAGTATGTCGGGTCAATCCTCAGAGGGACTACCAGAAAATAGCAGTCTTCCTTAATTTTAAGTTAAGTTTAAGTCCCTGATCTGTGTGAGCTCTGTGGTCATTGCACCAAATCGATTCGACCACAGAGACTCCTCCCCATAATTAAATTGCATTGTCCTCATTCCCTGTATGTACGTCACCACCCATCCTCGCCATAGTGTCGTCGCCGCGTAGAAATCAGTCGGTCAGGCGTGTGTATAATTGCCTATCACCCCGACTAATAGGCATTGGGTCAGGCGGGTGTGTGTGTAGTTGCCTATCAACCCGATTCAGTAGGCAGTATTGAGAATATACAAATTTGGTATCTCTTTCTCGGTTACCACCGAGTGGTCCTTCGGTCTGTGCCCCTTATTGCCGGGCGTACACAGAGTATATTTTTAATACCATAATAATAAAATATAAAGAAATTCATTGAACTAGACCGGTTTAGAACTATCCCACACCGGGATAATGCACAATGTAAATGATATGGTCCAAACATCCCAGTACATTATTAATCACTGGTTCCATAACTGCATCCATAATACATTTTAAGTAAATAAATAAAAGTATTACACTTTTAAATAAAAAAAAATTATAAATTGTATTGTATAAATTTGTTTTTCACTTACTAAAGTTTGATTAATAATTATTTCTAGTATATAATTATAGTATTATTATTTAAACTCACTTTAAGGTTACTAACAATTTTTCAGCAGGAGCTATACTTTGACGAAAATTTGTGTCTTGTAATCGTATTGCCTCACCAATTTCATTTAATATAAAGTCAATCCTAACTCTAGTTATGAATTATAATCATATAATAAATTATTGCACTAACCGATTTTTTTCGAGTATTAATGCATAATACATAATATAATATAAATAAATAAACAATTTTTTTCTTCACATTTAATAAGTTACTTTTTGATCGTCAATTATATAGAATGTATGATAATGATAATTGATAACTTGTTTTCGTCTATCACTCACATGCATACTTCCGTAATCAAATGTCCGTAATAATAATAACGTTTCATAAAATTCCCGATACTGTTATATAATGTATTATAACCGCAGTCACTCTAACCAGTAATCAATTGATCAATAAATACATTTTTAATTTTCAAGTATTTTAGTATGTTTATGTTGATGTTGATGGAATTAGATCGAAAAACCATATTTCTAAATATGAAGGTAGCCAGGAAAAAATTAATACAAGCGGAATTGGTATATTGACCCCGAAATACAAATTTTGTTGCCCAAAAATGACCTAGAATTTTACCGATAAGAGTACAAAAGATGCGGATTAGACCAGTTAGTGACTAGTTAGTAGTTTTTTTTTTTTTTTTTTTCATTTATTGAACAAAAGCTGTATTTACAATCTTTAATTACATGTAATACAATGAGTAAATGGGATGTAGGTTGATTAGCGGGAGGGAGAAGTCACCCAATGGTGGCACTCCTTGAAATAGTAGCCTTAATAGTTATAAGAATTTATTTATATGACATATCGAGTTTTCAACTCATTACCCATGACTAAATAAACAGGCATGATCACCAAAAAACCAATTTTTCCGATAACTGCGCATTTTCTACAGACTTGACAGAAACAGTAAAATTCCTATATAATTTTCGTGGAAATAACATTTTTTCCATGATTTTTCCATGATTAGTTTTTCTTCCAAGTCTGGGGAAATATAAAATATGCGTGAGGTAATCTGGCGACCATGACTGTTCATTTAGCCACGTCATTAATGTTATCGACTTTGAGAACGGTTCAACGGTGTTCATTGTCCAAATATTGACTGTGGAAGATCGTTTATTACTAGTAGTTGTTTCTAATTAGTTGTATGATTTTGAAGCACCTTCCATAATAACCGTGTCAGTTGTATATGTGTACTCGTGTATGTTTAATAACAAAATCTCGAATTATCGTATTTAATGTTGGTCATTGTATCCTGGTTTTAATCAGTCTATGATTCATGTTACACTAGTGGAATTATGGACTCAATTAATGTACTCAAATATATGGAGAAAAGACAACTTGGCTATACCGGTAAGTTTTATTATTAAGTTTTGTAACTCATTCACCGTTTTTTGCGTCATTGATCTCCATGTAGAAATACTGTACAATTATTAACAGAATACCTATACTCTAGAATTATTTTTCTTTTTAAGTCTCAATTATTTAATTGTAATAAATTTAAATAACTTGTATCAACAACGTTTGAATAATAACACTGATAATCCTGATAGCCTGATAGAGTATAGTCATATACTTGATAGTTTGGCTGCCTTTAAACTTTAAAATAATGATAAATCATTGCATTAGAAAACAATTTATACTAAAAATATTGATTTCTTCATTCTTCAATGTTTAAGATTATGTTAGTTTTTTTTCTTTATGCTTTTCTTACTATTGTGAATTTTATAAAAGTAACTTTTTTAAGCACATTTTTATTAAATTTATAGGTAGTTAACATAGATTAAAAAATGAGTACCTCAAATAATAAAACCCCAACAATAAAATAATATTGTAAAATCAACAGTATATTGGACTCTTACTTAAATATAAATATTGTTGCTTTTAACAATTCATTATTCTATTATTTATTTATTTATTTAAAGGAATTAAAAGCAAATTGAATGACATGTTTATTGGACAAATGGGTTATATACCTCAAACATATGATGGCGCCTCGGATTACCCCTTGGATGACACAGGCAATACATATATTTATATTGGAAATACTTTTGCTTGTAAGTTCAGTAGGAATAAAAACAATTCACACTTAGTTGGTATTTCAACTGTTCACGGAGAAATAATTTTGGAAAATACTATAGGTCATTATAATGAAAAAAATAATCAGTTTCAAAGATGTAAGTTAAAATCAATTACCTATTAAACTTTTCTAAACATTTTTAATTAGTTCAACGTTTCAATTATTTTTAATTATTATCGTGTATTGATTTTTGGAACAAATGTAAGCAAATTATGATCATTTTTCAATTTTTTTTTTTTTTAACTGTATTTTGAGGTGTCGGATATAAAAGCGTGAAAATTACTGTCATATATTTTTATCAGCATATAAAATATATGTACTAATTAAATTTCATGGAAAAATTTTAATGAGGTCAAAATTAAACTGTAAATAAGACCAACACTTTCAGATACAGACATAAAAAAAAAAAAAAATTTAAAACGAACATGGATACTTAACCACATCGATGCGTATTTAATTTATATTAATTGTACTGAAAAAACGTTGTACCTACTAATTATTATATGTAAAATATCAAGTTTATTACTGTACAATATCATGTTCGTAATACAATAACATTATAATGTCTTATACAATTGTATTTATTGTAATTTATTGTAATTCTCTTAAAAATAGATTATGTACACGACGATTCTATTTTTAACTTTGCATGGGCCGAGCCACAAATGAAAATTATAACGGCCTGTAGAGATGGATCCTCGAAGTTATGTAGTTTCAGATCATCAGGGGTACTCGATGAAGAAAGAAAATTTATTCATTATTCTGCTGTTAAAAGTGTAATGTTTTGCCCTGGATCTTCAGGTATGTATAATGGAAAAAATAAATTGTATTAATATTACTAGATACATTTTTATAATTTTTAAATGTTATTTTTACATACCTACATAATGATGTAATACATTTTTTGATACTCCTCTGCAGAAGTTAGTTTAGTGACTAAATATTTAGTTTATACATTTTTAAACCAATGATAAATAATTGCATTAAAAAATAGTTAAGATGATGTTAGCTTTATAGCATAGACAGAGAAAATAACTTACAGTTACATTAATAGTTTCATGATTTGTCAGTAACTTGTATGTTTCAATATTTTTTCCCAAGTTTAATGAAAAGAATTGAAAATTTCAAAAATGTTTTGTCTCATTAAGTATCTGTGCGCAAGTTGTATTCACTTTAAATAATATAAGGTGATACATCTTGAAAAATGATAAAAAAAAATAAAGTCTATTTTAGTTTAAAACAACATAATGAATATAATATATTAATAATAAAATTGAAAATAGTAACTTATTTATGTTATTTATAGATATATTTTGTTGTGGATGCCAAGATGGTTCAATCAAAATCTGGGATGCACGTTTATATAACGATAAAATGGTTTTGGAGTGTGATCATAATAATATAAGTAATACACATTATAGTAAATAGTTATTCTGTTTTTTGGTTTTAAATGTCATTTGACAAAAATGTGATAATTAGTAGAATTTTATGTAATAATTTTTACAAACAAAATGTTAAAAGTGTTAAAAAATTTATTTTTTCCAACTATATTTTAGGCATTTCTGGAACAAAATTAAGCATAAGTAAATCAGAAAAATGTTTTGGAGTATCTTCTGTAATATTTAATACTGATCAAACTGTTATATCTTGTTCTTCGATGGACCAGTTAGTATTATTTATTATATTTTAATGAAATAACAAGTATGAATATAAAGTAAATGCCATATAGATATATAAGAATACTAAAATGCATACTAGACAAAAAAAAAAAAAAAAAAAACGGTCAGCCAGTTAATATGTTCTTAACTTAAAGCAGTGGGGATAGAATCAATTGCCAGAAGTAGTAATTATGAAATGCGTACATCAACGACCGACTGTTTTTTTTTTACATTGTGGATGTAGGCGGTACACGCACCAGTAATTTTATCTATCTCTATGGTAAATACATAATCTACTTAACAAAATATTTATATATATATATATTTTTTAGTGATATAAAATTATGGGATTTACGTAAAAGTTACCGCCAAGTACAAGGTAATACAGAACATCAACCACTCATGAAATATTTTAATGAAATGAAAATTTCACCACTAAATAATGGTTATATAGATATAATAACAAATCCTCAATGTACTTTAATGTATGCGAGTTGTAAAAATAATGTTATTTACTGTTATTCATTGGATTCTACAGACACAAGTATTTTATTTATATCCTTTATTTAATTTAATATTATTAGTGCTTATAGATTATTATTATTAATACTAATAATAATATGTTTGTTTTATCAGCCTAACATACATACAAATTATGCAAAAATAAAATATATTACAATTAACAATGATGATTCTTTTTATACACTGAAAAATACCTTATACTTTTATTAGAAGACATTTGTAATATACATTTTTGTTTATTTTAAACACTATAAACTTAATTATGTTTAATAGCTTAGTATATTATTTTATATGTTTTTGATCTTAGTCGCTTTTAATTAAGAGGATGTCAGTGCACCATTTATTTTTTCTCTGGCCCATATGCAACAAAGCAAATGTTGAAAAGATTGAACAAAAGAAGGCTGAACCAACCCTGTGTTGTAACTTTTAGTATTATAGTGAATTCACCTATCATCATACTGTAGGCTTAAAACATAATCTCTATCTGTACTTTGGCTTTCTTAAAGTATTTTAATTTTTATACAAGATAAGCATTTTTAAATAGTAATAATAATTTACACGCTCATAACTTACACAAAAATTAAAATATCATAAAATAGCCAAAATTGAGACACAGGGTATTTTCTTAACTTAAAGTTAAATAATAGGTGAATTCACTCTAATACTAAAAGTAATAACACAGCTAAATGTTAATTTTTCTGCTAATTGTAAATTTGGTATGTTGCTCGTGGATCAGATAGAGAAAACAATTAGTGTGACATTATCCTCTAATTAATTAATATAAAAATTATTATAAAATTATAATATATTTATATATCATACTCATTTATTTTTCATCATTATTGTAGAGCCAATATGCCAATACTCTGGTCATTTAAATGAAACTGGGTTCTCCAAAATTAGTATTAGTCATGACGGCCGTTATCTATTTAGTAGTTGTAAGGAAAATAACGGCGTTATATGGTTGACAGATTTTCCATATAATGAAAATCCAATGTTTAAAATAGACAAAACTGATGAGACATTTCCTAAATTAGAATTGAGGGCTTCAGACTGGTGTGCAGATCCAACAAGTACTAAAGTGAGCTTTCTGTTACTTATTTTTATATATTTTATTCATTGGTACTTAAAAATGTATTATTTAGGCTGAAGCAATATTATCTACTTCGGTTTGATATTTATTTTTGGTACCTACTTGGTCCAATAAAATTTGACAATAATAAACGTATTATATTATATATTTTATATAATTATCTAGATTATTATTTATGCGATAATATTATGTATACAGTATATTATACATTATAGCATTTATAAATTACTTATAAATACTAGATAAGTATGACTAACAATATTATAAAACAAAATTTTTTTTTATCATATGCTCTCACATTATTATGACGGTTGTCACTTACTGTTGAATTCATCCTATATTTTTTTCACCATTTATATATTAGAGTTTAGTGTCTTAATTTATTAACAAACATAATAAAGAATAAATATTACAAAATGAAATAATTTGTACAATTAAATACAAGTAAACAATTTGAATGTATATTATGGTAAATTTATTTTAACAAGATAAAGTTTGCATGATATTTTTATAGTATTGAAGAAATTGAAGATACAATTTAAATTAAATGTTATTCTTATAGATTTATTTAATTTATATATATCTGTATTTATTTTTCAAGTTGGTAACAAGTAGTAATTCGATGCCAATGGTGTGGTCAATACATGGCCCTGAACAAAAAATATCTGAAAAATATTCCATTTGCCCAACTTCTTTCTATCAATCAAAAAAATCTTAAGTGAAAATGTGTACAGTTCCTATCAAATTTGACACTGAACTCAATGAAAATTATAAAAAAGAGGTTTGTATATTTTTAAAATAAAATTCATATCTTATATAATTTAGTTAGGTACTTTATAACCAACATTCATATTTAAGTGCTATTATTAATATTCAATTTTGTTCTAAATTTTAGAAGAAACCATGGAAAATTAGGGTATTTAAAATCAAAACTTTGTTCCATATTCAGAATATTTAAATGTGACTCCTAAAAAACCATGGGATGTTATTATTTACACAAAAACAACATCTTCATTGTAAACTCAGATATCATCTCAGTTAGAAACAACATCCACAAATTCGACACTCAAGTTTTCTTATCAAATTCCTAAAGTAGTTAAACCAACTTCAAGTAAAAAACAAAAAAATGTATTATATCAACTAAAAGTTTAATTGACCAATTTTTGGTTTGTAAAATGGGTTATTGTACATGAAATATAGTTGTTAATTAAAATAATAAAATAAAATAAATCCAAAGATTATTTTATGTTGACTGACAATATTTGTATAGACAGATATTTGTGTTAAAAAAATTATACTTTTTATTTATATCACATTATTTCTGACCACATTGTTTACAACATATTATATACATTTTTATGAATAAGTTAAAAATATGTTATTTCTTAAATTGCCATATTCCTAATGTAATATTTTTCTTTAGAAGTATTAAGCTAATAAATATTAGATGTTTTAAGTTTATTTTTTTATAAATTTAAGATAGTTATGTGTTAAGTTCATTTAATTGTTATCCTTGTGTGGGAATCGATTTTCTATTATAATATGGGAACAATTCTGTGTACATTTTCTGATTTAAAAGAAAGTTAATTAGAAATAGTGTTAGGTAGCTGAAAAAACTACAATTCATAGTATTAGCTCATAAAATTAAAAAGATTACATATTTTATAAATTAAAATATCTAAATTCAAAAAATAAACACCCATTGACTTTGTAAATACATTAAGATAAATTGATGTTCAAATAAATAAAATATTTGGTAATAATTAATCTTGCTTCCTGATTAATAATTCAATCATTGTCTATGATTTATTTTGTTTAACTTTTTTTACTTGTTATTATATTATGCATTGACAAATTAAATTATTTGATGAAATTTAAATTATTTATTATGTTTATGATTTTAATCATTGGTTAATCATAGTTCTTTTCCTAGTACTGATTATAACTCAAATGCATGCTATTATTGTAGTTTGTATTTTTTAAAGATATTTATGTGAGCTATTGCACATCAAAGAGACGGACAGTTGATTCCTAAGTATACTTAAGGGTATCGTAGTATTATCTATTGGTACATGTCATAACTTATAACTTTCAAAATATTTTTATATTTTTGTATAGACGATTCAAGCTTGACGAAATTTGATATTTAAACGTAGATTAACGATTTTAGTCATTCTGTTAATTGTTGTAATTCAAACACCAAAAATTATTATTCATTTACTTGAAACGTTTTTTCATTAGTCATTATACGTATTATTATTTACTTATACAATTAACATTTTCAAAATATTTATATACATTTTAAGAGGACGTCGCACCCTCATGTGTTGTCTCAGTCTTACACGCATACTACATAGCAAATGTTCGTTGGCTAGTTTCAATAGGGTACCTATTGTCAGTTTTTATATTAGAGTGAATTGCCCTATTATCAAACTTTTATTTAAGAACAGTATTTGTGTTTTCTCATTGGTTTTTTACGATATTTTAATTTTTAAGCGATTTATTAATTAGAATGGCACTGTTAACTTTGATGTACCATGATATGCGCTTGTCAATTATTAGTTCGTTCCTTTCTAGTTGAAATGACTGAAAGATTACATATACCTTGGCACTATTCAATTAATAAAACTTCATTGACACGTAGTACGTATATCCCGGAGCTGCTCATATAAAAGGTAAAAACTTAAGAATGACTGAAATTATTATAAACTCGGTTTTTCAGGTCCGAAACACTTTTATTATATTAAAACAAACATAGATAAATCACTTAGGAAATTCAAATTGCTTAGCCCGTACTACGATCGACGTTTCACACGTACAACCGTCGGCGTATTTCCCGATCCTAGTATGTTTCAGCAAGGGGGACGGAGCCAAGACCTTTCTGCATGATGTATATTATATGTTTTTACCGATCATAATCTGATTCAGCGCGATGCGCTGAACCCACATAGGGTTCGTAATTTTAATATAAACACTTAAAACAAAATAATATATCATATTACATTTTTACATAGTACATTGTTTTGCTATCAATATTTATTCAAAAAAATTAACAATAACTACATGTTTCTGTTTTTATTACTGTGTTCGTCACATTATATTATAGTCATAACAAGCTGAACCCGTGCACTTCGTTGCCCCTTAAAATATGTACCAACTCTATATGACTCAAACTTTGTTCAATTTGTTATTTAATATTCGTTGTATGGTGTTTAAAATTTACCTTAACTTTTCCGTTTCCCGGAATAAAAAGTCCGATTCGTAGCAGTATATTATCAGGTAGGCAATCTACCTTCGGTAGATCGCGGACCCCTGGTTTGTATGTAAGTGTATGATTTAACTCTAAAGTATCAAAGTTATATCAAGTTTGTCGTATTCTACCTATGGTGGATGAATATAATCAATTAATACAAAATCCTAACCTAACCTGTTGCATCACTGTTGTATTTTTGACATCCAGATTTCCTACTTTTCCGGTGGATTTTCCTAAAATGTTGTTTCATAATAACCTTCTCTGTGATATACTCTTTCGTTTAAAAAAAATCAAGAAGATCTGATAAGTACCTAGTTTCAGAGTTGACCCTGCATAAAGATTTTTATTTTACATTTATATAGTTAGAATATATTATATATAATATATTGACAAAAAATAATAATACAAATAAATTAAGGTGCCCCTTAACTAATAGAAAGCAATATACAATACATTATTATTATTTTAATCCACAACTTAATTTTTTATTATTATTTATTATTTAGGGTGCACTTAAGAGGCCATAACTCAGGAATCACTTATGACCCAGCGTACAAACTTCACATAAACAAAAATCAATCTCGTTTAATCTCAAACCAATTAATATTTATCTAGAGAATAGAATTGTTGTTGTCATGTCAACAGACGTTTTTTTCATTTTTCATACATTTTGTTGTTGTTTTTGGTCATGTCGCCAGGTGTGCACTTATGAGGCCATAACTCCGGAACCATTTATCGCACAGCGTACAAACTTCACAGAAACCATCTACATATCAATCTTAATATGCCCTGAAATTTGAAATCGGTTCGGTGGATCTTGAGCTATAAGATTTATTCAAAATGTACACTTATTTTTATACATACAGATATAAGTATTACTAATAACAATATAAGTTAAATATTTTTAATCAGGCTGAGCGTTGTGATATAAGAATGTCATCAATCTATATAAAATGCAGCAGTGCCGTAGCCAGGGGGGGCACCAGAGCCCCCCCCCCCCAAAATCCTTTTTTTTTTGGTTGGCCAAATACCCATAATACATCGCACAGAATTTTTTTAATTTATATAATTCAAGATAAATCTATGATAACGAATAACAATAAGTTATTAATTTTATAATTTGTATTCATAAATATAAAATAGTAAAGATAAGCACAGACTTCAGATAAGAAATACAAGTGCATTCCATTTTTGTTGTTAACATGGTTATGGTTTGATTATAAGTATCATACTATCATATAATATTATATTATAAGAGTGGTAGGTATATAGTTAATGGTGACATGGTATATTATTTGATATTATATTATTATTTGCCGTTAATTATTGTTCTATGATTATAGTTAATTGGCATAGATAATAAATTACCGGTGATTGTTCTCTATGTTATCACATTACTTCTCAATTTCTCAATTTCATAAACCCTTTTTGTTTTTTTTTTTTTTTTTAATTAAAATATTCAATGTTATTTGTTTATAATATTAATTATTTATATTTGAATTTATTTACTATTAATAAATAAACATTAGTATTATAAAGTCATTATGAAAAGGACTTCGAGCAATTTGTTGAACTATTTTACAAAAAAACAAAATATAAAAAATATGTTATTAAAATAATATAATCTAAAAAACTACAAAATAATTTTAAAAAATCTAACTATTTTAGATTCTGAACGGAGCGAGGAAGCTATTGGTTTTAGAATGGTGTTAATTTTTTTTTTTTATATCCTGTATACAAAATTTTTACCAGAAGGAGTGCTTCGATTGGCCCACAACAATCATAACAGTTCTCGGGTGTTCCCCGAGTGGTCCTTCGGGAATGTGTTTCGTCAGGTGTCTTGACTTACACAGTAGATAGTAGATATGTTTTTGGACCATGGCCATATAGATAGGTCTGGCAACTCGACAGTGTTTGTACGTGGTCGGAAATGTGCCGTTATGTAATGTACAGTAATTTAAGTGTTACTTAAAATTAATTTAAGTGTCACCTAAGCACAGTCCCTTAAAATTGCGTTGCACAGTCATACTTACGGGATAGCTGTCACTTAAGGTTTCCTTAAAGTTAAGTGGTGGATAGACCACCCTTAACGAGCCCGTAAACTATTATTTTTAATCATTTAAAAATAAAAAAATAATGAAATCAATTTGTTAAAAAATGTTCACAAAATTATCGTTCTACTGTATATCGATTTATGTATTTTTTTTATTCAATTTTTAATACCTAATGTATAGTTTATATGAATGCAATTTTTTAACTTATTGAATTTGTGCAGTTTGCCGATGATGATAAATAAGATAATGGACCTTAAAGGTACTATAACCGACAACGGCCTTTCCAACCGCTTATACCGCTTATATTACTTATATTATATCCTCACGAGCCACGACTTTATACGCTATAAGCAAATTATGTTGTATTTATTTATTGGATATTTTAATTAAAATAGTAACTAAAAGATTGTA